CCCCCTTTTGTAAAAATGTCCGCCAGCGCCCCCTGCCGTACTCTGAACGCCCCCTGGGGGGCGGTACCGCCCACGTTGAGAACCGCTAATTTAGATAGATTGCTAAGATTTATATGAAGTGAGCTTCACTGTGTTTATGTGATCTTTTGTGACAGTAGACGGATCATCTGTCTCAGCATAAAAAAGAAATCAGCTGAATGTATTAGTCTCTGAGTTGAGAACCTGTTGGAACAAAGATTCGTTTCAGGAGCGGCTCTACTCCGGACCCTTCACAAATTACCAAATGACCAAATTACAGAATTAAAACAATGGGGGGAAAATAGAGCTTTGTGCAGTGTTGGGATTGGGAACTAAAATCGATTCCTGTAGTTAACCTTAAATATAATAATCGGAGCCGATGTCTTGTTCCGTAAGCATGCAGAGTTGACTAACGTGTTTATATCATATGTGTGTTCTTTTCACGCAGCTCTGCTGTCGTCGTGGTGTGAGGAGCTGGGCCGTCTCCTCCTGCTGCGTCATCAGAAGAACAGGCAGAACGAACCACAGGGAAAAGTTCCCATGCAGCCCAGCATGACCAACATGAAGCCTGGCCTCACACACAGGTCAGTCACATTTGTGAGAATGTGTTTCTGTCAAAAGAACAAAGGAGAATGGTTAATAAGAACAAAAAAGGAGAAAAAAAGTTGACACCAAGACATTCTATCAACTATGAAGTAAAGGAAAAAAAAAAAAAATCCTGTTGTTCTGCCAAGAGCCAGAATCACCAAGGAAGGAGCAAGAGGGGATTTATTTGGGGTGGAGAGGCAAACCAGCATTGATGTGAAGTAATATTTTTGAGGAACATTGTGTGCTCTTGCTTTTCTTTTCCTCTAAGAGAAAATCCTGGAATTAGCTAAGAGTGCTGTTTGCCTCCGCCGAGGATCTTTGGGGGAATATTGTGCCTTTTATGAGGAAATATTGAACATGTCGTCCATTCCAAGAACTAACCTCGGAGAGAAAACAAACTGCTTTCCAAAAACAGCATTTCCCTCCCCTCCGCACAGACCACTTGTCTCTACCCAAGAGACTTCAGTTTATTTATTCGATGTACCAGACTCTCTTATTTGTTTTATTCAAAATTACTTAAATTCCTGCTCACTTCTTCTTATTTGTGTCAAGGATTTTGTTCCCCAGCTGTAAGAATTGCTCGTATTTGGTTCCTTTTCTGTGTCTAATAAATGAAAGATTTTTATTCTCCATTATTTGGTATGCTATCTTGCCTCAAAACGCCACAATAATAATGTTTTTATCTGTTTTCCAGTGATGGATCATTTCCGTATGACTCTGTACCCTGGCAACAGAACACCAACCAGCCCCCAGGGTCGCTGTCCGTGGTTACAACAGTGTGGGGTGTGACTAATACGTCACAAAGTCAGGTATCCATCCATATCAAAACAGCCTCTCTCTGTTTTTTTCTCTTTTTTTGTGCGTGTGTGTCTTGTTCTGCAGACTTGAGCTATAAATTCACTCTTTTATAAGCATGATTTTTGTGAAACCAGTGAGCTTCTGTTTGTAGGTGCTGTGTAATCCTATGGCGAACAGCAACAACCACATGAATCCCGGGGGAAACCACATGGGATCGGGTATGTCGGCCAGCGCAGCAGGGCTCAGTTCGCCTCAGTTCAGCGCTCAGCAGCAGCAGTTCCCAAGCAAAGGAGGATCCGGCCAGTCGTACATGCAGCAGGGCATGTACGGCAGGCCCGGCTACCCCGGTGGTCCTGGGGGGTACAGTGGAAGGTGAGACACTCAATCAAGCCAATATTTATTTGGCAGCGGGTCAGAGGCCAAGGCTACTATTAGCAGGATGTAATTGTGTTTGTGGTTTGATTGGAAGAGAAAGATTTGTATGTTTAATTTAACACGCCTTTCATGTCTACTTGCTAAAACCGTGTTTCTCTGAGGGGCTTTAGTGAGTGGCAGGGGGGGCATTTCTAGGGGTGCGCAGATTGATAGCCTCAACTTCCTTTGGGTGATTGACAATACTTACTTGTGAAACCGATCTTGTCCACTGATTGGTGGACAACAGAGCGAGAATAACATGCATTAAAACAAAATTTACCACAAAAAAAAAAAAACCTCAGGTATCCTTGCCTGCTTTGCAGGTTTTGCAACTGTTTTTCTGTGCACTGTGTGTCTGCTGGTGGGGGGGGGCCCATGCGTAACTAAGCTAAAACTCATTCTGTACTCAGATCTCCACACTGTCATAGAGCATCAATACAACTGAAGCTGAAGTAGATTTGTAGGGAGCCTGACTAGAGCTGTGAAAAGTGAGGTCAGGTGTTAATACTCAAACAGAAAACTGATTCAACTTTATCATAACAATTGATTTGTTTATTTATTTATTTATTTAGTTACTCTGGTGGCCCGAGCGCCCCTCCTGGCGGTATGGGAATGACGACACACACACGCCCCTCTGGTGACTTCACTCCCCCTGCTGCCGCAGCTGCTGCTGCAGCCGTAGCTGCAGCTGCTGCCACGGCCACGGCCACTGCGACTGCCACCGTGGCGGCTCTGCAGGAAACGCAAAATAAAGAGATGAACCAGTACGGACAGGTACAGAACCCGCCTGAGAACATCTGTCCATCTGCCTGCTTGTCACCCAAATAAAGTCTGTTTAACACTTAAACCTTTTATTACCCGCCAGATGTGCCCGTCGTTCCAGATGGGCCCCGCACCAGCCTACAACAGCCAGTTCATGAACCAGCCGGGCCCCCGAGGGCCTCCTGGAGGTATGAACCCAGCCGCCATGGGCTCAGGCATGAACAACCCCAACATGAGTGGCCCTCCAATGGGCATGAGCCAGGCTCGAACACCGGGCATGGGGCCTTTTGGAGGTCCCAGTCAGAGGATGCCTCAGCAGGGTTACCCTGGTGGGCCCCGACAAGGCATGCCCATGCAGGGGATGAAGAGGCCGTATCCCGGGGAGGTCAGTGAAACGTTCGAGCAACTGCACCACTTTCAGAATATCGCCACCTGTTGTTTCCAACTTGAATGTCTTTGACTTTCCTTACCCAGGGGAGTTACGGGGGTCAGCAGTACGGGCCAAACAGCCAGTTCCAGCCTCAGCAGGGACAGTACCCCTCAAATGCCTCCAGGCCGCTGCCTTCCCCCAACTACCCCAGCCAGCGGATGCCAGTGCAGCAGGGTCAAGGACAGTACCCCCCTGGCATGCCCATGAGCCAGTACTACAAGGTCAGCTTTCCCACATCAGCTTTACTTTCCACACTTCCTGCCACAGTTGGCGTCAAACTATTTTGTAGCTGCCTGGGAACTTTAACAATCGTTGGTTTTTATTTACGCCCACAGCAAGAACCATTCAATGGTCAGAACACTAGCTTCACTGGAGGCGGATACTCCTATAACCCAGGCAGTGGGGTGTGTTTTAACTTCCTTCTTTCAGACCATTCAATTTCAGCTGTGCCCTGAACAAATTATTTTACTTCGTGTAATTTTACTTTTATTATTGCACTTTTCCTGTCTGTCGCAGCCCCCCAGGCCTGGTAACTACCCACACTCTCCAGTCCCTGGAAACCCAACTCCTCCCATGACCCCAGGAAGCAGTATTCCTCCTTATCTGTCGCCAAACCAGGACGTGAAACCCCCCTTTCCACCCGACATGAAGCCAAATATGACAGCACTTCCGCCCCCTCCGGGTGAGTTAGGCAGCAGGTCTAAAACAAAGGGGTTCACATATTATGAGTATTTATTTATTTTGTCCCTGCTAGTTTTTTACATGCAAGGATTAAAAGAGTGTTTCTCCATTTTAGGCAACCCAAACGAGGAGCTGCGGCTGACCTTCCCAGTCAGGGACGGGGTGGTGCTGGAACCGTTCCGCCTGGAGCACAACCTGGCTGTCAGCAACCACGTCTTCCATCTGCGACCCTCCGTCCACCAGACACTCATGTGGAGGTACGTTTAAACACGGCCGTGTTACAGAAACTAGTCATGAGCTTAGTGCACTTCACCTGTATAAAGTGTGTGTTTCTTCCTAACCTTTTCACATTTTTGTTACCTAAAAGTTTCATGTATTGCTGTGGATTTTTTTTTTTTTTTTTTTTTTTTATTTAAACAAAATGAAGTGAAAAATTGGGGGAAAAAAAAA